GTAAACATCGACCAGACTACACAGCGCAAGAACCCAGAAGACGGAAATCTTCGATCAGATTACTGCTCGATGGCTATTCCGTGACTTTGAAGTGTTAGGATCACCTTCGTTTAGCATTCAAAGAAAATAAAATAATCAGGAATTGCTTATAACAAACTTAATGCATAGGAGAAACGTTTATAAACTTTCAGGATTGGCAACATCGCAAATACTTAGTTAACTTTGTCATGGTTACTGAGCAATTTTCATTTTTAAGATTTTAACTTAGGAACTGTACCTTATGTCCAGATTTCTTGCCTCAAGCAACATATTTTTTTTTAGTTATTAAACCATGTCTACGTTTAAATATATTTATTTTGTACAGTCTATACACAAACGTTTGAAGTTTATTGGTGTTGTAAAAAGTTATATAATATTAAAACATTTTATTGTGTAAAATATTATATTAGCGCTCTTAATCGTAAATACGATTTTACATTATATTTTTAGCGCTTTTATTAAAACGACATGTTTCGACGGGTAATACCGTCGTCTTCAGGTTTTTTATCAATTTAAAATATTTTAAAAGTTATTAGATATTTGATGCAATAAAATATTTATAAAATAAAATATTTTAAATATTTTAAATTGATAAAAACCTGAAGACGACGGTATTACCCGTCGAAACATGTCGTTTTAATAAAAGCGCTAAAAAAAATATAATGTAAAATCGTATTTACGATTAAGAGCGCTAATATAATATTTTACACAATAAAATGTTTTAATATTATATAATTTTTTACAACACCAATAAACTTCAAACGTTTGTGTATAGACTGTACAAAATAAATATATTTAATCAAACACAAACATGACGCATATAAGATACAAACATGTCTACGTTTGTAATTTACTTTTCTTTATTACAATTAATAACCTTGAATGCTAGTATCAATTTAATAGTAACATTCCCCTCCAAGAATATAATTAACACGTAGAATTATATTGAAGCATTCTGTTTCTGTTCTGTATTTTTATTACAATAAATTTGTGTAGATGGAATTGATACTAGCGTGAATAAACATGCATCTGATTGTAAGAGGCATTTCAATGCGAATTAAGGCGGGCATGTCCTTCATAAACATAAACCCCCACTCCTATTGACACTGTAACCGGACCTTCTAATCTATGTATTCATAAATGGTTGGTGTATAAATAGAGGTCACACAAAAGGTGTTGTAAACATTAGCTTCTGGACCACGCAATTTACAGCGTCAACATATGGAAATGAAGATCACCTTGGCGCTTTCGTGTAAGTACCAAGCTTTGTTTACAAATTGACGAAAATTATAATCTAGATAAATTTAATTTGGGTTCCTCAGAGGACGAACTAGCTATGTCCTTCTATTCGGTTGCCCACAGCGAGAAGTAAAAGTTTCAAGACCTTCATCACTTCATTTACGTCTGAAAAAAATATGTCTAAAACAATTTTCCTTGTCTTTTCTGGCTATGACTGGGGCTCGGCTTACCTAGCTTAGGGTAGGGTCTAATGTCGGGCTTTTACAGACATGTTTCCGTAACAATTTAAATTTCTTCGCCAGCTGAGTAGTCTACCAACATCTAAACACACCATTACTCTAATCTCCCAATTTGCCTCTTCCTTTGAAGTTCTCTGATCACATTTGTATTTAACTTTTTCTGGATGACCAGTCCATCTCGTCCTCCTTGAATAAGGTCTAATCATCCTAACATTATTACATAAAAAAACATAAATTATGATGTTCTTCATTATGCGTCTATTGCTATTTCATAATTTTAAATAGAATAAAACATTTGAGGAAATCACTGTACTATTCAAGACAGAAAGTTCTTTCAGAATCTCCTGGGGCGGAAATTACGATGAGCATCTTTGACGCATAGTAGACACCAACTAAGATTCGAATATTCCGAATATTAGTTGTTAATTGAAGAATGTGGTCCTTCTGTTTCCGACAAAGCAACTGGTGACCACAGTTTCATACAGGAAATATAAATTTCTGTATTGATCTAAAGAAATGAATTCCGGAGTCCGTGAAGAATTATTATACAGACTTTAATAAAAACACCAGTCTACAAAGCAATTCATAAGAATGAAAAATCTTTCATCCAAGTATGTTCCATTTTACTAAATATTTAATGAGATGATAATGTTGCGTCATATTGTGATGATTATAATTGTTTAATTTTAACCGTCTAATCACAAAAAATATTTTATTAAATATTAAAATATTATTATTACAATTAACATTTAATATTTAAAATATATTAAAATATATTTCACCCACGCAAGATCACACTATACGCGACATACATTTACGAAACAACATTGAATGTGATAACAAAATACAATTGATCTAGAAGAGGATAACTTTCCGATATTTAATGGACATCTGACGAAGGATTGCATTTAGAATATTACATTTAAATTTATATTGATTATACACCTGAAGATGGTTCATTGAAAACCGAAACATGTCGTGAAAAATATTATGCTCTAATTGTAAATCGAACATTTCGATAGAAAAAGCATCATTTTAATATATTTTAAATATTTTAAATATTAAATGTTAATTGTAGTAATAATATTTTAATATTTTAATATTCAATAAAATATTTTATTGTGATTAGACGGTTAAAATTAAACAATTAAATATTTTATGCCGGAAACGTTACCTAAGAACCGTAAAACTGTTTCCCTCTGATGGATAATTTAGGTCTCTCTTTTGTCTACCTTCCTCTTTCTCTGCAGTCTCCTGTCTTTGCTGTCGATACCTATCTCCATCCCTCTTTACCTATTCTTCCTTTATATTTATTTTTGTTCTTATCGTTTTCTTTTTGTAGTATTTCAGTTTTTCTCGGCAGTGAGTCTGAAGATGGCCGTCTTCTGGGTTGTTGCGCCGTGTAGTCTGGTAGATGTCCACCAAAGTTTAATCGTCCTGATGATGGAGGCAGGAAGGACGTCCGATACGTCGGTACACGACGCAACAACTCAGAACACATCCATCTTCTTCCTTCCTTCAAAAACTGATTAACACACCCATTGTGAGATACGACTGTGAAATTAGACTCGGTAAAGTTTCCTACGTAGTCGAAATGCATTGAGCTCAACAGAATATTTGGACTGAAAGTGCAGTAACTTGATTTTTCATTCAGTTTTCATGGCGATCATTACATGGACGGTGTGCCAAGCAGATGAAGAAGACGTGCCTAAATGCGACCATATTGGCTACTCTCCATTCACAATAAGAAAAGAAATTTGTGGATCCGATGGACAGACATACAGCAACGACAAACACCTCGAGTTTGAAAACTGTCTCTACAAACGAGGTGAGGAAAACCGATCTGATGTGTAGCCCACTGACATATTATGACGAATGTGAAACGACCGCCCGTTAGAAAGACTCAAATAATTTCGTCAAGGGGCGAAAGTCACAATTTACTTTGTGAAAACAGAAGTAGTACACACGACTAACAGGAAGTAACCTACCGCCATGTAAAACACGAAAAACCAAAAATCCTCACATTAATAACATGGTTAAGTCACATTATGTTTCTAGTATTCTATTGGACAATCGATTAGTCGGTGAACGAATAAATTATAACTTTCCACAATTTAAACTGTGTCTAAGGTTTACATGCGTCATGTTTGTGTTTTTGATTAAAATTTTTTTAAAACTATTTTATATTATAATGCATGCCATTCAATATATTCATTATTGTAACATGTGTTCCGTTGATCCTCTCGTTTTACGCATCTTATGTTTGTTTTGATTATTCTGTAAATAAATGTGATAAATTTTAAATTTTAACATCCAAAATAAAGTTTTGTGTATTGACCTGAATTTTATTATATATTTTAAACTGTGTCGTTAATTATAATTGTGTGTTTCAGAAATAAAGAAAGCAAAGAACGGATGGTGCAAGGAAGAAGATCAGAAGAGAGCTGACGAACAACGCCGAAAGTTAATTGAAGAATACGTAAAGAAGCTCGAGGAGATAGAAAATAAAGGCTAATGCCTGTCTTATTTGAAAGATCCTTCTGTTAGTCTCACTGGCTTACCCGTATAAATTGTATAATTAAACAAGGAATATTTACATATACATTCAAACTTTAATTTGCTTTAGTAATCTTCAGGGCTTATATGCGTCTTTTTATAAACAAACATAGTTAATCACATTTCCTACTAGTACTTCGATGAATTTTAACCCCCCCCCCCCCCAAAAAAAAAACACAACAACTTTGGAAATAACACATATATTTTCACGACACGAATCAACCTAATCTTTAAATTTCAATTATATTAACGTGGTGGACGTGTAAAATATTATTTTATGTTGTCTACGTTGGTAACTGCAAAACTTTCGATTTTATTGTAGTTTGGACCAGTAGATTAAAAATTATTATGTGTTCTTTGTACGAAACGCATAGCTAGAACGCATTATGGGCTGGTCGTGTCTGTCTGTCCAGTTGATTCAACTCGAGAACCAATGGACTATTTTGATGAAATTTTACGTAGAGTTCGTGTTACTCAGCTAGACCTGAAAATTGTAATTTTGAATATCCTACTAGCGGTGATTACAAAATAACGGATAAGGAAATTAGTAAGATAGACACTGAGGTGCTGCTATCTATATATCACATAAAACTCTTAAATTTCATAAAAAAATAATCCAAGTTAAAGAAACTGTATATTATATATAATCCAGATTCTACTAAGATTTTTAATTTTATTGGAAACATTTTTAGATGCACTGTATATTAAACGAAATTCAAACAAAATATACATAACTTTATCCGTAATTACCTTTACTAACAGTATATTTTAACGTTATTCTGCGTTGAATTTTTGGTACAGGTGACTCTCGATATACGCGCTTTTGCTATCCACGTTTTCGTAGGTCCGTAATTCTATTTTAGAATCATAAGAAACATCAATACCCCATTCACGGCCATGGTAAAAGCTACTGAACAGGCCCACTAATTTCGCGCGCAAATTAACTGATCCGTCCCATGGTCGAAAGACTATTCAGTTTCAAAGATAATAAAATTAGCTTCTAGTATATAACGCGCAAATTTTCTTCCACGATCCTCCGACCACCCTTAATTCAGATTGGTCTGGTCTGGCTCCGGTATTAACAAATATTTTCCCATTTTTGTATCACGTTATCGCAGACCTGATACAGGACTAACCAACTAACTCCGTGATGCAGGACCCTTCTGGAAAACTTTATAGTATTTCAGCTTTACCATAAGCGTTCTGCTTTCATAGAAATACAAGATTCATTACTGTGTTTACAAAATCTCACCATAAAACTCTTATCCTGAGAAAATGTATTCTACTCCATAAGTTTAGTCTACGATTCTGACAAAATAATACTGAATAGTATCTTAAATAAATATGGTGGGAGTTTGTTGACTGGATTCATCACAGTGGGGGGTAAGGACACGAAAATGTGAATTCCAATAAAGGCGGGGGAAATGTCTTGATAAGCTGAGCGACTATTAGCTTCTAAGCAAGTGCTCAGATCCGTAGAGTCTGTTAATATTCTACGAATAAATTTACAATAACAAATTTAAAGAAATGTAATAAATCTTGTGGTGCACTACGGTCAAAACCTTGAGAATCGACTGCAATGTCCTTGATCTTGCATGTTTCGCTCGGCTCTGTCGAACAAAAAGGAAAACCGGATTTAAAATGACCGGATTATAAATACGAGTTAAGAGACGCCTTACAGAAGAGAAAGGAGACACATTATTCTGGAATCTGTATTAAAATATACAACGGCGCCAAGGTACTTTAAATTAAGACTTTTCTAATATTAGCATGTAAGTACCTTAACATCTATAACAAAATTAATGTAACTTAACGTTACTTATATTATGCATTCTTTGCACGAAATACAGCAAAATAAATAATAAAGAAGACGCCTTGTGTTTTAACCTATTTCATCTGAGAGCAGACTAAACAAATGTCGATTAAATGTGTTATTGACATCCTGTATCGAAGTTTTGGGTAAATTTAATTTGTCTGACCTTTCCAACAGACGTTACCAAAAGTTGTAAAACACACAAACCACAGACGGGAAGATAAACGAGTCTGAATTGCTTGGTATTTTCTTAATGAATTCAATTGTTATTTGTTACCGTCGTTCCTAAATATTTTCGCTTAACGAAAGATTCGAAGAACGCAAAACGAGAAGTTACGTATATCAAATCTAAAACTTCTTGACGATGGTGAAGAGTCAATTGAATAAAAATTTCCTTGGATATTATCCATCGTCTAG